GCCCAGTAGCACCCGAGTGGCACCAGTCGTGCCCGTGCTCGCGCCAGCAGCACACCAGAGCACCCAGCCACCCTTAGTCGTGCCAAGCAGCACCTAGTGGCACCAGTTGTGCCAGGGCCCATGCCAGTCGCACCGCCCGCGCCCAGCAGCGCCTAGTACCGAGGCCCGGTCGCACCCAGCTCGTGCCCAGTGCCGTGCCATGGCCCCAGCAGGCCCGGCATGGGACCGAGCCCGGCCAGTCCATGCAGCCCATGACCACCCGGTCCAGAGTGAACCGGCGGTCCGACCCGGTCCAGTTCAGTTGGTGAGCGAACCGGCCGGTTTAGCCGGCGGTTCGAGTCAGTTTTGGTTCGTGATTTTCGGTCCGAGTCTTATTCCGAAATCTAAGTATTTTTCCGAGCCAAACCAGACCAGTTAAGCATATCAGTATAATTTGCGGACTTAGAATTATTTCAGTGAACCCGTAGAGCGTTCCTTTATATCCGGATGAGTAATCTGATAGAGTAGAGCATCTTAGCATATTATTGAGCATATGACGAGCATGGTACTTAGTATATTTGTTTGCTTATATTTTTATATAGCTTGAGGAGTCAGCTACCAGCACAACCGCACTTACCTATTTTTCAAAGCAGATCAGGTGGGGACCCAGTCTTGGTTATACATTGAGTATAATAGTCGATATCACGTTCAGGTATGTATATGAGTTTTATCCGCTTGGGGTTTGTCCTTCCCTAAGTTCTGGTGGTGGCCCAGTTCGCCTTAAATATACCATCAGAGTGTGCACACGGTACTGGCCAGAGTGTCCAGGAGTTACCGGCCAGAGCGTCCGAGAGATTACAGTTACCGGCCAGAGTGTCCGGGAGTTTCAGTCACTTATATATACCAGTTCTGTGATATCATTATTATTATTATTGTTGTTTACTTTAGAATGGGTTTTTATGGAGTACATGTGGACCGTACTCACCCCCACTCAGGCGTGAGTCGAGCAGTGGTGGTGGTGGTCGTGAGTTCCACACGAAAGCTGTTCCCGGGACATTTGTTATCGTTTTGTATAACTAAATAATTTCACGCACCTTTAGACTTCCGCTATGTTTGTGTTTATTTTCGAACATGCATGACGTTATTTTCAGACTTAAATAATTTTATCCAGTTCGCCAGTACCAACGGGTCCAGACTAATATGCATGATTCGTTAAAAATATAAACCTGATTTCTTTAAGTCTAAACTAGTCGTTAGACCTAGGTTAAAGAAATGGGTTTTTTAAGCAGAAACGTCCTTAGCAGCATCCCGAGATAGTTTGCAAATGATTTCGAAAAATTTATAAGCGTCTTCGAAAGAGTTAAAGTTGCGAAAAATTAGCCCTAAGTAGCGGGTTGTTGCAGAAACAACCAAACTATGTACCATAACCCAGTCAAAATGAAGTCAACAATATAAACATCAGAAAAATCACCTCCATTTTAGCATCATAAGCCATTTTCAATTCCCAAGCACGAAACTTTATCGTCGTCCTGATACACTGAAGACAAAAACTTCTGAGAGTTAATATTTCAAGCAATATAGATTCACAAAAAGGAAGCATTGAGTTTATTGTGAGAAACATAAAAAGCACCAAAGTACACATGGAACGATTACAAATTGAAATATTTTTACAGAACATTACTTGTCCTACAGAAAAAGAAGAAGAAGAACAACAAAGAAAAATCAGTCGCGATTTTGATCTTCCTCTTGTCGCGGTTCATTCTTTTATGTTGTACAACAACCAACAAAAACTCAATGTAACAGAACCTTGTTTATTGCAAAAACCTTATAATTCTAATTTAATATTTACTGTGTCTCATTGCCTAAAGAATAAAGCACAACCTTATTGAATAGAGGGAAAAAAAATACTCATTGCATAAAGGGTATATATCATATGTATTAGAATTACCTCCTACTTACACACTGCTTAATGTTTTTAAGATTAATTTGTTGAATTGACTTGATACTGTCGGGACCAATATCCAAGCCCATCCAGCCATCAGGAATCGCGGATGATGGAACAATCTACAAAAGAGAAAGAAAAAAAAAAGAGAAATTTCAGCACTCCTCTTTAGTGCATAAACAGAACTGTTCATGGAACAATCTACAAGAAAACCCTAATGATCCTTTCTTTCAGAGCAACACCAGACAACACTCCACCACAAGGACGATTCACAGTCCTCTAGTTTCTGATCAAGTTAAAGGATGAATGCACATAAGACACCATCGCTAGATATCTTAGATAAAAAAGATATTGATCAATCCACGAAATGAGGAGCACATTGACTCACAGTTCTAAGCAATCAAGGGAGAACCTGAGCTTCAAAACTGGACGTTCTCTCTTCTTCCCGTCTAACCTATAATATATAATTGACAGTGCTCAACACAAAAACAATCACAAATGATTACCAAACAACCAACTAAAGTAAGTGACTATTTATGAGTTATGACCACAAATTCATGAGGAATAAGACACTTGAAAGTTTACCATTACTTTGGAGTTGAGCAGATCAGTCAGGAGCATCCTATCGTACTGCCGAAGTGTATCGCTCGTCAAACCTAGTCACAACGACAACCGCTCATGAAGAATTGAGCCTTCAACATAAACCAACAAGTGAACTTATAATTACAGTTCTCGCTTGGTGAAGCCTCAATTGGCTCCCAATGCCTCAAGTTCCATATCTTGGTTTCTTCATCAGTGCTGCTGTTGAATTTCTCCTCTTCCCGTGCATCGTCGACTGCGATTTTGTGGCTGATTCTCGGCAGCGCTTCCGGGGTGGTTTTGCCTTCGAGTTTCTCATTTCTGAAAGGGATTTTGATTAGTAATTTCTTCAATCTCTAGCTCGCGTCCTCATCGGCTTTCTTCGGTTTTGATTTCGTCTCGAACTTCTGAGTACCTCGCTCGGGGGTTATCCTTTCTTCACGGCAGATGGTTTGCGGCAATGAGAAGGAAAAATAAGAATTTTTTTCATGCCTCTGGTTCGAGAAAAGCAGAAAAGAAACACATTAGGTGGAGACTTACTCGAGAAGAAACACAGTAGATGGAACGCTGACACTTTGTTTCCCATAGTGCGGTGGAGGATTCCTAAAACCGCAAGAGAAGAGTTGGTGGAGGGTTTAAGAAGACGAAGGTTAGATGGAAGAGAAAGGTTTTTTGTACAGAGGAGAAGATCTGGTCTGGGGTCTGAAGAGAGAAGAGAACATATTGCAGAGTTTTGACCAATTTTGTTGCTTCAGAATTAAGCCACCGCCTCACTTTCGGCTGGGTCAACCACAATTGACTGCAATCACATCACTGCAGAAGGCGTGGAAGAGACGGTGGCCGCACGTCGGGCCAGAATTTCCGGCAGGAAATCATCTTTCAAACTGTGTTGTTTTTGCTATGGTGACAGAATACGTCAATCGTTGTGTACTTGCCACAATAATTTACATTATGAGGTATTCAATTGACCGAAATAATCCCCCAAAGCCTATTACAATAGGGTTATTTCCGTAAACTTAGAAGCCAATTTGTGCACGCTTTTTTCCCTGGCTAAATTAAAAAAAAAAAAAATGCAGGCCACCAAAAAACAATGGCAAAAATGTAATCAAAATAGGACACTTGTCAATTTTTCATGATGCCATTAAGGGACACATGTCACAGTTTAAAGGCCACACACTTCTTCATATATATATAGTAGAGATATATAGTAGAGATAGAGATATATTGTAGAGATATGAAAAGAGGTTGATGGTATAATCTAAAATAGTAACTTTGACTTTGTAATTTAAATAGATTGAGTTACTATTAAAAGAAATATTGTAAAAATTACTTTAATATTTGTAAAAAAAATGAATATCATATTATACGGACTTTTTGTAAATTGTGAAATTTCATTATTAGTAGCACAATGTTATATATAAATAAAGTGGTATCCATTTTAAAAATTATTTTGTGATAATTAACGATGGAGATGTGATATGAAGAAACGGTGGGACCCACTCATTAAATTAATTCAACACACATTTCTCTTTCCTCAACCTCCCTCTCTCATTTTTACAGAACACCGAACATGCACACATGCACTACACAGACACACACACACACACACACACACACACACACAGAGTTCCGACAGGCAGGCCGGCAGTCCGGCATATTCTCGCCACCTACCGCCAACAGCCATCCGCTTCGCATCCACTTTCCGGCCACCGGAGCTTCGTCGGGCAGCCGTCGTCCGTCTGTACCTGCAACCTTTGCCATCCGATGTCTGCAACTAGTCGCCGCCGCCGCCACCAATCACGTTGCAGCCGACAAGAACCAAGTTGTTGTTTGTCCCATTTTTGTGTCTTTATTTCATGTTTATTTTCTTTTTATTTTCCCCCATTTATAGGTTTTTCGTAGTTTATTTGGTTCATTTCTTTCGTTTTGTGTTTTTGCCTTTCGTTTATGTTTATGTGTCTTTTTGTCGTGTTTTGCTTCGTGTTTTTCCGTGTTTGTGTTTTTAGGAGGTAGGTTGTGCCGGTCGAGGTTAGGTTGCTTGAGCTGTGACTGTGATATCGAGAATTCCCATGGTCGAGCCCAGAAAACGACGAAGAGGACCGAAAAACAGACAGAAAACACGCCCAGCATTTGTCGCGACTCGGGTTGCGACTCGCGAACATGTCGCGACCCGCGAGAAAAACTGGGGATAAAGGTGCAGTTCTGGAGCGAGAGTCGCAACTCGCGACACTATGTCGCGACTCGCGAGTGATGTCGCGACCAAACCCCAGAAGTTTAACATTTTGATGACGCGCGACTCGCGACCGAGGAAAAGGCAAAGTCGCGACTCGCGATTTATTGCGCGAATTTCGAGGAGCGGAATTTTAACATCAGATTTTGGTCCTAGGGATCATTATTCGACTTCCAGACTTTGTCTTTACGTTCTTTCTCTATAGAGAAACCATTCCTTTTCATGTTTTTTCTCTTTTGATGTGTTTTGGAGATTGAAAAACTCCTTTTTCTCGCTTTGGATTTGGATGCACTTGGATTTGACATTGGATTCTTTATATTAATCGTAAGTTCTTTTTCTCAATTGCTTTGTTGATGATGATGGCTTGGGTTGATATGAATTTTGATGTTGAATTCCATATGAGTAGCTAAATCAATTCGCTAGGGATAGGGGATGATTGATTAGGTTCATTAATGATTGCATGCCTTTGATTGTTCATGTCTAAGTGAGTTGTGAGAATTATAGGGTTAGTAGATTGATCACCTTTCTAACCTAGTTAATCAACGTGTAGAACCGAGAGGGGAGACGTTGGTCGATTTAGGCTCGTTTAGAATAGACTTGTTCAGAAATGTATTGTCTATATGTTGTTGAAATTGATAGTTGATCGTTTACATTTTTACGAAGAGTTATTGAGAGTGAACCTCTGAACGAGAAACGATTCAAGTCCTTTAACCGAGCAATTGATTGTCGGTGATAATGTTAGAACCGAAAGCAATTATCCCCGATTCCCTAGCTCTTTAATCATTCAGTGAATTTATTTGCCATTTTACTTTCATTTTATTTAGTTTAAATCATTAGTTGATAATTAAAACCCAAAAATATTGAATTAGAGTGTTTAGGAATTTGTCTTCTCTTTTTCGGGATTGAATAAACGCGCAAGAATATCCGGCTAACCTTCATTGCGATACGACCCAGGGACGAATCTTTCGATTCTACTCCGGTAAAAATACTGATAACAGTTGTCGCCACGAGTCACGCCACAACAAGCAGCCGGATGCCAGAGGCGAGAAATACCGGCGACGTTGCAGATGCCGACGGCAGGACGAACCACGCACCGGTCATGTCGACTCCACAGCCCCTCCGGCGGCGAGACAAACCACCTGCCAGCGAGAATGCAGTAGAGAAACCTAAATTTTGAATTTGGGAGTTTGGGCCTATTATGAGAATTTGAAATGTTTAAGGGACATAATAACAATTTTTGAAAGTTTATAATACTACAATTTAATTCATGGGTTGAATATGTAATTTATGAAACATTTAATTATTGCATGATATTGTTCAATGCATTTTACATTACTATTCAGTTGATCGCACATTACTGATGAACACATTGCACATTACTGTTCACTGTAATTCATTAATAATTTAATATATGGTTTTATAGTACAGTTGTTGGCTATTTCAATTATAAAAAGAAGGCCGAAATCAAATTGAAATACTCGAACTTTTCACAACAAATGGCGTTAACTGAATTGACACACGATTTTTCGGATTGATTTTTTTTTCTTTTCCTTGTTAGGATGTGATAATTTTTTTTTATTTTTTTTTTTTGGTTGAATTATGCAAACTGCACTATAGAATGCATCATATAAACGAATAAAATCCACACTAATTCATATTACAAAATGCACATATAAAACCGACATTAATTCATATGAAAATGCACCATAGAACCAAATTGTTTATTTGTTCGGTTAATCGAATTAACCAAAACAACCGAACTAAATTATTATTTATATTATAAAATCTTATTTAGTATTCTAATAGTTTGTATTTAACATTATATATATTCTTTTTTATTAAAAAAAATATATATATTTATGTAAAAATAAAAATAAAACAAATATGTTTTTACATAGTTTGGTCGATCCGGTTATTTCTGTTACTTTTAAATAATGAAGACATTGAACAGAAATAACTAAAAATTTAAATGTAGCGACAGACAATCAACCTAACATGTAAAATTCGAACCCAAAAACTTAGTTCGCTCGCTAAAGTGCAATCTGACAAGCATTAATGTGCAATTGAACTCGAAGTGTAACTATTTTTTTTATATTAATTTATATAGTATTATACTTTCTTACTCAATACTTAATAATATTTTTCGGTTGAACATAAATAATATGCATATAGATAAAATATCAAAATAATATTTTTTGTAAAGTTCATCTGTTTTAATATTATTATTATTATTATTTTATTATTATTATTATTATTATTATTATTATTATTATTATTATTATTATTATTATTATTATGTAATTAAAGCCAAAATCAAGCCGAATTAACCAAAACTTTAATATTTGTGAAAAATGCATGTTGTTATCTTAATGTGCATACTCGAATGCATTAATGTGCATTTAATATAACACTAGTGTGCAATACTACAATCATTAATGTGCATCATGATATATCCTATTGTGCATTCTTCAATGCCAAATTTTTGTTTTATGTGCAAATTTAAATTAAGTTTGAACGGAAATAATAGAATTTTTCGGTGAGTTACTTGAATTAATCTAAATAATTAAAATGTTTTATTTATGCTATAAAAATATATATACTCCCTCCTATTTTTATAATTTGTCGTTTTGAGAAGTAACACGCTAATTAAGAATTTTTTCTTGCCAATATTAGCCTTATTTAATGGATGTTTGGGAGACGATGGAGATGGGATATGATGAAACACTCTGTATTAGATGGAGGGTCAAAAATTGAAAGATATGAATAAAATAGCCAAAACAACATTTATTTAATCAATGATCAATTAAGCCAGAGTGACTAATACTAAAAATAGGAGGGAGTATTTAATATTTTATAGTATTTTTAGTAACAATAAATATAATATATACATGTATAAAAGGTATATATAAAAAAATGTTTTTTTTATGTATTTTCTATAAATTAAAGATTTGATCCTTAGGTTAAATTGGAATAATCAAGACTTTTAAAATTTAGTTAATTATAATTTTGACCCATGAACTAAATTGTAATTTAGTTAATATTATTGATATTGCAAAAAATTCCTTCCTACTTATATAATTTTCAAAAAGAATCCCCATCCCCAAAATACACATCATCCTCCGTGGTGACCTAAACTAAGTAGATGATGTCGGCGCCGTGGATATCCAGATGATGTAGATTCCGCCGTCGCTACCTCCGATGTCATCGCCGCTGTCGTGGTACTTCCGACGTTTGTCACCGTTTCTCTGCCGCCGCCGCACTGAAGAGGATGACAAGCACCTGCAAGATCAAGGTGACGACGAGGCACAGATCGGCCACTGAAACCACAACCAATCTTCTCAATCATCGCCTTTGTCGGATATACATTGCCGACTAGCCAGCGATTTCTGGTTTCCAGCGGAGGATCAGAAGTGGCGATGACTTGCCTGAGTGCCAGCGGCGGGCAAAAGTCGCAGCTAAATTGATCGGCGACCGGAGGGAGGTTGGCGGGAGTCGGGATTTTTGGTATGTGTGTCTTCGTGTGCATTCTCACTGGCAGTCGGCAGCGGCGCAGGCTGGCCCATGACGGCGGAAGTCTTCCGATGGTGGTGGACGCCAGCCGGTGGAGGCGGAAGCTCGTGTGTGTGTGTGTGTGTGTGTGTGTGTGTGTGTGTGTGTGTGTATGTGTATGTGTATGTGTGTGTGTGTGTGTGTCCTAGCTCAACCAGAGTTTTTTCTTATTCACAGTTGGTAGGCGATTTAATGTGGAGTGGGGTCCACATCTATGTGTGTGGTGTAGAAATTACCGCATTACCCTTAATGAAGATATAATTTTGGCTTTTTTTAGCTATTAGATCATCCGATCTAATGACTACGATTCATTCTTATTTCTTTCACTAAGAACCATTCTCATGTGAGTGCGACCTTATATATATAAATATATTATGTGGTTCAAATGAGAACCAAGTCCTAGCGTGAGAACCGTGAGAACCACTATTTTTAATTGTATGAAATACTATGATTGATTGTGTTTTAGTACTATTTTTAACCAAGATGTATTTTATTAAAAATAGCAACACAATTTATATTAGCATTTGTGAAAATGATAGCATCATATAATATTAAAAATAGCATCATACACAATTAAAAATAGCATCAAATATGGTTCTCAGGGTTCTCATACCAGCATCATATATAAAGGTTTGATTATTTTTAAAATAGTAACTG